GGGGCTGAGAACTCAGCAGACTGTCTGACAGTGCCAAAATCAGGCCTTCCGGTACTGAACTTCCCAAATTGTGCTCTGAGCACCCTCTAGTAGGGATCTGAGTATTTGAGGGGAGCCTGAGTGTATCTGACTGGAGCCTGTCTTGGGGCTTTTGGGAGTTTCTGAGTCGCTGATTTGAAGCTATCGGTCCCTCCCAAATAAAATCTGAGAGAAAGTGAAACCTAGACCAAGCACCTTTACATACCCAATAAGAAAACAACCAAAGCACACCAATAATACAAACAGAAGTAGACTTCAACTCAGCAAACGAAGGCTTGATTTTCATACCAGAGTCACAAACAATGAAAGTATTTCCACATGCCAAAATCACGATGGAAAAATAATAACAGGGAAAACCAAAATAATGTGTTCCCACCAAACCTCACCAGTCCTGTAGAAGAGTTCTATAAGGAAAACCCCCTAGAGATAACTCAGGACACAAAATTCAAAAAAAATCATAAATATTATCAAGGGTTTCAAGAAATTTAAAGAGCACACAAACAAAGCAAAGAACTTAAAGAAGATAGAGATAAACTTCTGACTGAATTCATAAAAGAGAACATTGAAGAAAATTTAGGCTGAAATGAAGAAGGAAATGAAAAACCCCAATTTGAAAGAACAGGAGAAAGCCTTTCCCTTAAAATGAATGAAACAGAGAACAGAATATCAACACTGGAGGAGAAAGTTGAAGAATTGGACTGCTTGTGCAAAGATTATAGAAAAAATTAAAACACAGGAATGGAATATGCAGGAGATGTGGGTTACCATGTAAAGACCAAATCTACATATCATAGCCATAGAGGAAGGAGAAGAATTTTAGGTTAATGGTATTGATCAGATGTTAAACATGGTTATAGAAGAGAACTTCCCCAAATTAAGGAAAGACATCCCCATAGAAATAGAAGAAGCACATAGAGCACCAAGTAAACAGGACCAGCAAAGAAACTCCTCATGGCATATCATAGTAAAATACTAAATGTACAGAACAAAGAGAGAATACTGAAAGCTGCAAATGTGAAACAACTGACATATAAAGGAAAACCCATCAGAGTAACTGCTGACTTATCAATGCAAACCATGAAAGCCAGAAGAGCCTGTACGAAGGTATTTCCAGTTTTAAATACTCATAGATGACAACCCAGAATACTTTACCCAGCAAAAATATAGAAGGGGAAAGAAAACCTTCCACAATGGGAAAAGGCTGAAAGGATACATGTCCACAAAACCCCCCTTCAAAGAATTCTTGAGGTAATACAAGAATGGATAAGGAGTAACTATACCCAAGGGGCAACAGAAAGAAACTAAATGAAGATATAATGGTGGAAACACAAAATTATACAAAGAATTCAAACAGGTATCAAAATGTGGCAACCATGACATCTTTCAATTATGTCTTTGAATAGCAATAAGTTGAACTCCCCAGGCAAAAGACACAAGTTAGTTGAATGGATTAAGAAACAAAATCCATCTTTATGATGTCTGCAAGAAACTCATCTCACTTTCAAGGACAGGCACTACCTTAAGGGGAAACTATAGAAAAACATTTAAAGCAAATGGCACTAATCAACAAGCAGGGGTTGTAATTCTAGTATGTGACAAAATAGACTTCAAACTAAAACTAATCAGAACAGATAAAGTGGGTCACTTCATTCTGATCAAAGGAACAATTAACCAAGAAGATATTAAAATCCTGGATATATATGTACCATACTCTTGTGCACCCAAATTCACAAAAACAACACTACAGGACTTTGAGAAACAGATTAACACCAACTCATGTTTTTCAATTGAATTTACGCTAATACTATTCAGATTAGATAATTTCCTAGATAGAAGCAATATGAGGCATCCTAAGGGTTATGCTTAAAGCCAGATGGACTAAAAGGGGATCTCTGTCAGTATTTGATGAGTATTTAACTAAATTTATAGTCTTTTGACTTGTGCTTAATTCAAAACGTCTTTGCTGAATTTTCTTAATTCTTGATATTTTATGTTTCTTTGCTACCCATTTTTCACAAATGAGTGTTCAAGGTGCTAGGTATGTATACTGTTTGTGCACTTCCAGGAGGGGCTCATGGTTTCATAAAAATGTTCTTCTAATAGGAATTTCTATGAGATGAGTACATTTCATGGACCAATACCCTGGTTCTTCCATGACCGCCAGTTATCTAGAGCATTTTTCCCAGGTTTGGAAGGAGCAATGTCACTTTTTTTCATTCATCAGACTGACTCTCTCTCTCTCTCTCTCTGTCTTCTGTCTCTCTCTTTTGAAAAGGGAAAATTGTCAAACATATAGGATTAGGCTAGGAATTATCAAATGACTGGTCATGAAAAATGGCTTAAAATTGATTAAACAAAAAATTAAGGAAACAAAAACAAACCTACATCTTTAGTGGTGATAACTAAGGAATAACTTACGGATGTTTGAATTATGATGACTGATGAGTTACTTGGGGTCGAAAGTCTGTGACTAGCATTGCGTTTGAATGAAATGTCCACCCACTAGTGTTCTATGACAATCTCTTGACTGTCTTTCCAGACTGAGAAACTCTCCTGGTCCTTGTGTAGGAGAGAAAAATGACATCACATATTCTTTTGTAGGAAAATTTCCTCCAACTCCAGAAATCAAGATCTGCTTCCACAAAGGCAGCTTCTATTAAAACCCCAGACTCCAAAGACACTCTGGGTGTACACTCTCTCTTCAGCTTGCTGTTAGCCTTTAGAGTATATGAAAATTTTATTCTCATAAGCATGATCTACCTAAATTTCTTTTGTATCTGTCTCAAATTATTCCCTTATGTGATCAGGGACCTCTGAGACTCTTGATATAGAAACAAGACAATAGAGAGTTGATCACAGTCAAATGTGGTTCTGTTTCAAGAGATTGTTGCTCCCAAATTCACAGTGAGTTCTCTTTTTCTTACATTCTTTTAATGAATATTGTTGCTGCAGATTTTTATAGTTTAAATTGATGCTGCGTTTTGAACTAGATTTTTTTATACTACAAGCTATAATTATTTTTCCCTGCAATGTCAGTACCATGTGGATACAGCACACATTATAACCTAATCTTCTGAGCCCCAATAGCATCCATCGACCATATGTCAACATCCAGAGAAATACTTTTGTTCACACCTGGTGTATGCCTTGATGGGGAGGAGAGTATTGGAATGGACTGGGCAGGAGCCAAGGATACTGTTTATTCTCTACTATTTATTACAGCACCACCATAAGATATGCCCTAATTCAAATGCCAGTTGTACCAAGGAACTTGGTTTATCTGAATAAGGATGTGGAACTGCAGAAGAAGAGATAATGCTTATGAGGCTCATTCCCTAACTTTAGTACAGTTCTAATACATTATGCAAATATTGTTTCATGGCATACAATGCTATGACACAGCTCATTATTCTATTTAATAATTTCATTGGACTTTTTTGGAGTGGTGAAATTTAACATTTGTGGTGGTTTGAATGAAAATGTCCCCCAGAGGCTCCAAGTATTTGGAAAATTTTTTTTTTCCTGGGAAGGTGGCACTGTTTGAGAGGTCTTAGAGGGTGTGGCTATCCTGGAGGAAGCACGTCACTGGGGGTGGGCTTAGAGAATTCTTAAGCCTTGTTGGATCTCCAATTGCTCTCTTGCTTCGTCTGCCTGCTTGATGTTGTGAGAGCTTAACTTCTGCTGCTCCTGCTCCAGTCACATCCAGCCACCATGGCTCCCCGTCATGATGGACTGTAATTCCCCTGGAACCATAAGCTCAAATAAACTCTTATTCTTATAAGTTGTTTTGGTCAGTACTTATATCACTGCAAAAGAAAAGTGACTAATACAACATTCAAACTTACATATTCTAGTCAAGAAATCTACCATGAATCAACAACCCAAATCCTTTTAATGAGCATATTTCATAAATATACAATTGAATAGACTGACATAAAAATAAGTGTCAGAGGATTTTACAGTTTTATAGTTGGGAAGTGGAAATGTCTGGATTTCAACTTGCATCAAATCAGGTTCCTATTTCTATTCTTTCAGCCTCCCTGTACAGAAATTTGGGTATTATGCTAAGCTTGGTCTGATGATGTTTATTACTGAAATCACAGGAGAGCTACAAATGGCAAGTAAGTGTGTCCTTGTGTAATTCTCTTGCAGAGTTGTGCAGAGTTTAATGAGAAGAATGAAAAAGGGACCAGTCACAGCTCTACCCCAGAGACCAGGTACTCCTGCTGGGAAATTATAAATTGAGAACAACTTTGAATCTCAAAAGATCCATTAGTTCTATGATCCTAGATGTAAAACTAAGCTCAGAGATTTCTACCCTCAAGGGGCTAAGAGAATATTTTTCCATGCTTCTAATGAATTTTTTCAGAAATCCTGACTTTGAAATAGATATTATCAATTGAGGTGATATAAGATAGCTTTTTCCTTTGTGTATGTGAAATAGAGATCATGTCATTTCCAGGTGTACCTCTTTGAAAAAGCCACACACATATCTTTACTGGTCACCACTGCATGAACAATAATTATTGACTTGGACCCTTTCAGTACAGTGAAGAAGATATCACCATGAGTTCTACTAGCAGATTGTACTGTGGGTAAACAAAGGTGAGCACTGATTAATGTTTGCCTTGACAATTTTCTTACAAACATATAGCTGTGGTAGTTATGAGTCCTAGAGAAAATTACTTACACGTTAGTATAATCAACCTTAACCTATAGTAAGCTGTAAAAAAAAGAATGAAATGATCCAGAGTCTTTTGCAGTTCTATCAGCATTTCTCTGGGCAAACGTAACTATCATGAATGAGAGGAAAAAAGAAGTGGTGAATCCTCAAGAATTCACATGGGTAATTGTGCTCTGTGTATGCCTTCCTGTGTGGTCAGTAAACCTCAGACACAGAAAGCAGTAACTAGCTTTCCCTCTGGAGTCAAAGATGTTAATATCACCTTGTACTCCTATTGCTACAGATGCCATCCAGGAAGTCCAGAAAGAAAATGGCTGTACCAAACGACTCTTCTGTGTCTGAGTTTATTCTTATGGGATTGACAGATCATCCTGAGCTTCAGCTGCCCCTGTTTGTCCTGTTCTTGTTGAACTACACAGCCACTGTGATGGGAAACTTGAGTTTAATGAATCTCATTTGCTTGAATTCAAATCTCCATACACCTATGTACTTTTTTATCTTCAATCTCTCCTGCATTGATTTTTGTTATTCATTTGTCTTTACACCCAAGATGCTGATGAGTTTTGTTTTAGAGAAGAACACCATCTCTTTCACAGGATGCATGACTCAGCTGTTTTTTTTCTGCTTTTTTGTCAACTCTGAGTGTTACGTGCTGACAGCCATGGCCTATGATCGCTATGTAGCCATCTGTAAGCCTCTGTTATACAAGTCTGTTATGTCCCCTAAAATATGCTGTCTGCTAATGTGTGCTGTATATTTGATGGGGTTTGTTAGTGCAGTAGTCCACACAGGGTTTATGATCCAGATCAATTTTTGTGCTTCTAACATCATTAACCACTACATGTGTGACATCTTCCCCCTCCTCCAGCTCTCCTGTACCAGCACCTATATCAATGAGCTTGTAAGTTCTGCCGTGGTTGGTACAATTATCATTTTATCTAGCCTCATTATCTTAAACTCATATGCCATGATTCTTTCCAATATCATTCGGATGTCATCAGCTAAGGGTTGGTCCAAAGCTATGGGTACTTGTGGGTCTCACATCATTACGGTTGGTCTATTCTATGGGTCTAGGCTGCTAGCTTACATCAAGCCATCATCTGCTGAAGCTGCAGATGAGGGGAAATTTTTCTCAGTGTTTTATACTCTTGTGGTGCCTGTGCTGAATCCTCTAATTTACAGCCTCAGGAACAAGGATGTCAAGCTTGCTGTGAAGAAAACCATGAAGAGAATGACAGGCTGATTTAATCACTGGTGCTTCCTTAAACCCTGCCTCCTTTACTTCCCTCATCTCCAAGTGATCATGTTATCATTTCCATTTTTCTGTTTGTTTTCATCTTTCTATTGTCTTGACAGGATTTCTGCTGCAATCCTCTTTTCCTCTTTTATACAATGTACCTATGTGCACCTATTTTTTCTTACTTAAGATATCTTCAGTTTCAGTGTGGCTGCAACATGGTGTTCATTGACTGTGATGCTTTGAAAAAGGAGCCCCTACAGACCCAAATATTTGAACACTTGGTCAATGGGTGTTGCTGGTGGTGTCAAACCTTTTTCAGGTATGGCCTAGGTAGAAAAAGCGCATTGCTGGGCATTGGACTTTGAGAGTTCGTAGCCTTGCCCCAGTACCAGTTTGCCAACACTGCTTCCTGTGCCTGCTTAAGCTTTCTGTGCTGGCTCCCTCCTGCCCTTCCAGGATAGACTCTTATCTCTTAACGCTCTGGAAGCCTAAGTCCAGTAAACTCTTCCTTCTATATTATGCCTCAGTTTGGCTGTTTTATCACAGCAACAGAAAAGTAACTAAGTCATTGTGTATATCAGATCAAGGTCCAATTGTGTTATCTTGCAGTACCTTCCAGCTAAAGACAAAACTGTCTTTCTCTTGTGTCTATTCTCTGGGTAAGGAAATCCATTGAGTTGCATGTCTTATGTAGAATTAATTTCTTTCTTATGTTCACTTCTGAGACAATGACCAAAATGTGGATATGACATAGTTGTCAAAATTTCATGATTAATTTCGAGCCCTTTAGGGAAATTTTCTTTAGTTTCAACTTTTAGTTACATATTTGCAATAAATAGTAAAACTATACTTTATTCAAATTAGGTTTTTATTTTATGCATATTTGAGTATGTATTAGTCATATTAAACAAACGTTTTTACAATTATAATAATTCACTGGCAAACTGTTATTTTGTTTATGAATAGAATTGTAATTGCCACTGTCTTCTCAACAATATATGGATTGTGTATGTGATGGTTTATAAAACTGACATACTCGTGTCCCTGTCTGCAAAACACAGAGCCATTATATATCTAGAATTTTTATTTTTCCCATTGCATTAAATAAATACTTTTACAAAACAGTGTACTTGTTTCTTCTGAAAAGCAAACCACAGAGGACCTTAAGGCTTAGTGATATAGTCCATGTATGCTGTTGTAATAAACTTTTATTTTTTTCCTGATAAGACACCAACAAAAGGCCAAAGAAATCATTGAACACAAGTCAAGCCTGTGGAAACAATGAGTTTATTGCAGCTACTCACAGAAGCCTGGGTGATGGGTAGCTGACAGGAATCCAGGACTCAGAATGGCTAAATTGCTGATGTGCTTACACCAATATGGACAATGACTCACTAAGCTTGCATCACTGAAGCTCCCACCTGACCTGCAGTCAGCTCCACCAAAGAGCCTGCTTTCCTTTGGAAAGTGTTTATTGGGAACATATTTTTGAAATTGTGGCTCTTGAATATTTGAAGTTTTGTGAGCTTCTTGCAAATTAAGAACATCACTCTTCCCTCTAGGAGTGAATGATTCAGTCCTTAGACAACAATGAGTAATTAGGAGATATAGGCTGCTTTGGATACAGTGCATTTATCTATCTATCTATCTATCTATCTATCTATCTATCTATCTATCT